AAGAGACTCGAGTCACAGAGCCCCCTTCGCGATTCCTCAGTCGAGCTATGTTGAACTGTAGACTTCTGACGAGGTTTTTCACCCGAGCAGCTGACTGCAAAATCTTGATTGCCGAGCTCCGATTATAGTTTCTTGGCCGATTCGTAATTAACATATCCGAATCATCGAGCTCTCTTCGTGGTTTTTAAGCCGAGCAGTCATTTTGAGAAACCCAAATTACCGAGCTCTTTACGATTCCTCAGTCGAGCTATTTTGAATTGTAAAGCGAAATCCGGATTGCCGAGCTCCGATTATAGTTTCTTGGCCGATTCGTAATTAACATATCCGAATCGTCGAGCTCTCTTCATGATTTTTAAGCCGAGCAAATTGCCTCTTCACATCGACCGAGCAGCTCACCCACCTTATTAGCCAAGCAAATTGCTTCTTCATGCCGACCGAACAGCTCACCTACCTTATTAGCCGAGAAAAGTGCCTCTTCCCGTCGACGCTCACCCACCTTATTAGCCGAGGAAATTGCTTCTTCACGCCGACCGAACAGCTCACCCACCTTATTAGCCGAGAAAATTGCCTTGATAAATTACCGAGCAGATCGCTTACTTTATTAGCCGAGCTCCTTGCCTTGATAAATTACCGAGTCAATTGCTCACTCTGTTGGCCGAGCTCCCTGCCTTGACAAATTACCGAGCAGCTCGCACAATTTGTTAGCCGAGCTCGTTTCCTTAATAAATCACCGAGCAGATCGCTAACTTTTTTATCCAAATTATGCATTTCATGATGTTTTCAACAAAACTAACATATTACAAACCCAGCAAAACAAATTAAGGACAATCATTCAGTACAGAAGGCACAAAATTCTAGTTTTGGCTGAAAATAAACCAGAAACACAAACTATATCAAGATTTGGACTGCTTCTCAGCCTTTCTTTTCGCCCTTCTCTCTCTAGAGCTCAAAGATGACTTGAAACCATTACCATTTTCATCATCATCCCTCTCTTCTAAATCTCTGATTGATTTCTGACAAATTATCATCAAACCATTATTTTTTCTTTTCAATACAATATCCAAATTTTATTTATTTATTTATTTATTTATTTATTTATTTGGTAAGGAGCTATGTCTGAAAAATCCATATAAGTTATCTATTGAAATTTGTAAATTTATTAATAACTAAAATGGAGAAAAGGCTGTACCTCTCTGAGCTCAGAAAAACTAACAGCATAGAAAGTAAGAGCAGCAGCTGCAACAATGGCTGCCACTGGAAGACCTATTTGCTGAAGCCCATCCATTGAGTTTTCTTTAAATCTAAGGCTTGATTTTTTTTTTTTTTTTTTCTTTCCCTTTCTTTATTCTTTCTATCTCGTTTTTATTTATTTATTTATGGATAAGCAAGTTGGGGAGGAGTGGCATTAATAGTGTAAGAGATAATATTTCTTTTTCATTTATTTATTTTTATAAGTAAAATTGTTCTCAGTGTCATTATTTTCCATACACCAATGGGAAAAATTCATATTTTACTACACCAACACACATTTTGATTCAAATGGTAACAAAAAATCGACTGATAGCAATGTCGTCACTGGTAGGGTCGAATTTATTAAAAAATGCTTATGTTCCCAATAGTAACTCTTCTTAACAACGTTACCACAAATTCTAGTGTGAGACAGTTAGACCATCAGACAAGTGACCCGTATACGGGTTGAACAAAAATATTTTAAAGTATGATATTTTCTAATCAAAGTATGCATATTTATAAAAGAAGTATGTTGACTTAATTATTAATTCGGCCCAACACAAGACCAACTCGGAACCTTACACTCAAAATTAAGTTCATCTTCAATATGAGGCTAAATTGATTATTTCAAATTTGGAGACCACATTTGAACTAAGCTTTTTAGTCATTTTATGGATGAATGAATGGGTCTACTTTTAAAAGTCAAGTTGGTTGGACTAAGGAAACTTTGAATGGCTGTAGAATATGGTTTGATCAAACAATTTAATTATTGCAGCCAACCAAAAGTCAATATTCTCTTGTGGCCAGCTCTAATTGCTCCTAGTTGGCTGAAATTTTCCAACTAGACCCTTAAATTTTTATCAATGGTTATGATTTCACGAAAACTAATAAAAAGTAACGAAGTCGATTTGTTAATCGTGTCGACTCGTCATATTTTTTTACACAAATGTATATTTATATAGTTGATTATGTTAATTGTGACTTACAATAGCATACTGTTTCATAATTTTCCAATCATTCGTCATATTAATATGATGCATTTTATTTTTATCCATTGTAATTTAAAATATTTCTAAAATTATTGTAGAAGATTACCAGTTTTACTATGAAACCAACCATTGGCTATATATTTAAGTAATTAGAGAATATGGTATGATTTACTTATTGTGTATAAAAAGTTGACTACACTATGAAGACAACTGTTGGTTCAAAGCAAAACTGAGATAATCACGTTCGGTTGTGAAGATAATGCAGTAAAAGACAAATGTTCATTGAGGATTTGATGTTAAACTTTTTCAGAACATATTGTTACCCAATAAACAATCAATATTAGCAATTAAAATCATTGCCCTCACCATTCAAAGTGATAAAACTATCATTCAATAAACTTTAAGCCACACACCTAACTATAATAGGCTACACTTATTGCATTATTTTTTTGTAGAAATTTGTATGAACGTGTAATTGGACACATGCATATTGTAAACTCCAATTTGTTTTCACTTAATTTAAAATTGGGTGTAATTGCAAAATATAGTCAGTATCTTGTACGCGGTGGTAATAGTAGCCACCATCTTTACGAATTGACAATATAGACCAACAACTATCAAAATTTAGGGGTTATTACCTCGACCAAATTCGATGGCTATTGTTGCCTCTGCGTGAAAATATATTGACTATATTTTGCAATTTATCTGTCGAATTTAGTTGGATTTGGGTAATAATCTCGAAATTTTGAAAGTTGTTGGTTAATATTGTCAATTCGTAAAGATGGTGGCTATTATTACCACCGCGTACAAGATACTGACTATATTTTACAATTTAGCCTTTATACTGAAGTGGTTATTACAATAATTCATGATTAAATAACATCTACAATCCTAATTATTAGAAAGAAAAAAATAAGACACAATTTTTTTAAGGTATCAATTGAAATATATTCACATGTAAAAGAAAAATAAGTAAATTTATTGTTAATCAGACATAACAATTATATTTTTTAATAAATATGTATAATTTTTTAGTATGATAGTTTATAATATAAATATATATTTTTGTTAAAATAATTAACGAAATGATCAACTGAATAATTAAACAATTTAGTCCTCACAAGAATAAATAAAATCGCCCCTATATATAATTCCCGAATGCGCTGAGCCTACGTGGCTGCTTCTGGTGCTTCGGAATCCTACATGGCGAATAATCATGCTTCGTAATTAGGTTCGGACAAATAATATTGATATATTAATAATTAATATTTAGTTCCGGACATTCCATAAATATTATTTAGTTAACTTAGGTATTTTAATATCACTTATACTAATATAACCCTTTAATTCTTTGAAATTTTACATATAATTCACGAATGCGCTGAGCCTACGTGGCTGCTTCTGGTGCTTCGGAATCCTACATGGCGAAGAATCATGCTTCGTAATTAGGTTCGGACAAATAATATTGATATATTAATAATTAATATTTAGGTCCGGACATTCCATAAATATTATTTAGCTAACTTAGGTATTTTAATATCACTTATACTAATATAACCCTTTAATTCTTTGAAATTTTACATAGTAAGACACTAAGTGACTAATATATTCCTGACTTTTGATTTGTTTCCTTCAATTAGCTATTGAATTATAAATGTATTTTTAAAAGTTGATAACTTTTGTATTTCTTGTCGGTTTTACATATATAATATATCAAATTAATCATCTTTTCATGATCTTCGATTTGACATCCATATTGTATATAAAAATAAATAAATAATATTTACCTTTATAATAATAAAAAATAATATTTATTAAATTTTATTAGAAAAGTAAAATTATTTCTCAGTTGATATATTTTTGTTTAATGTAGTTATATGTTGTAAGTTAAAAAATTATTATAATATAACACAAGTATGTCACACAAATAAAAGTGTCATACTAAATATATAATAATATATATTTTTATAAAAATTATTTAAATTTTCAACTACTTTTTCTCAATAATTTTAGATTTAAAAAAAAAAAAATTAGCAAGCACCCGTATAATACACGGACGTATAAATAATAAAGATTCCAAAATCCAAATGGTAAAAGAATTGTGTGTCATTTTCAAAGTGGGGTATAAAAAACTCTGTAAGCCTGGGCGGTTTTGGTCGGCCGGCGGTGGGCCGTGCCCGCCACCATCCAAATACTTTTTCAATTTTCTCCAATAAAAAAAAAAAAAAAAAA